CATCGACAAGCAGAGGGAAGGAGAAAAAACAGAGAGAGTCTCTGGCTGGCTGTGACAGGAAAAAATATACAACAATCCTCGAGCGAATAAAAAGGCTCTATGAGCGTTCGGAGCCATCCTCTATTATCCGAGTGAGCCTCTCCATAAACATACATGCCGAGCGATAAATAGGAGTGACGGGACATAATCAAGGGCACGGAATGGCCATCGTTCTTTGTGAGCCCATTTCACGCCTGGATCCCGTCGGCACTACTAAACGTAAGTCAGTCGACAGTTTTCAGCTAAGCAGACGATACCAGCCCGTAGACGTCACACACATGGAGTGTTTGGCGACCCCACTCGTAGCATCATGAATATCCGGATGTAGCCAGACGGTTACCCAATGATGAAGGCCGGCCCACACTCTGATAATACATCAGTCACCTGTATCCTATCACACCACAAGGAGGTCACTGAAAGAAGACATGAAGGGTTCACTTCAGCCTTCAGATTAGCGCGAATTTCAATCATGGGGGTATCTGGAGGGTACCACTACCAGTCACTAACACGTCATGTCAAATTGACGAAACCGGTAGGGAAGTCTCCAAAACTCACAATTTGAAGGTGGTGCGCACATGTTGCACGCCCATGGCGGCAGCGGGCCGACGCGCTAACGTCACGAATTCGACGGCCACGGCGACGGCCAGTTCCCGGTCAGAGCAGAGCACCTCAGCACCCCTCACCGTCACTCTCACCGCCGCTCAGTCCGAGCGGAGCTCACACAGCACCTCCTCTCGCCACGGCGCTCAGCGGCCAACTAACGGCGCCGGCCGCCGCGCCGCTCTCTCCCAGCCGCCGCCGCCGCCGGCTGCCAAGTTTGGGCATAGCGGGCGGCGGGCGGCAGCGGCGGGCGGCGGGCGGTGGGCTGTGGGCGGCCGGCCAGCCGCCCAGCCGCCACCAGACGGAGCGGCGCCACGCACGCACTCCCCTCGCTCGGGAGCGGCCTGTGATGGGGAGGGGAGGGTAGCGGGCTGACCGCCCAGTCAGCTGTAGCGGTGCAATGGTTACGCCCTACTACGCCCAGGTTAATAGAAGCGATCGTCCGGCCCACTGCCCTGGTGTTCCCTAGTGACCCCGAGTCAACCAGGGCCGTACCACGCGGCGCCGGCCGGCCTTCTAAGGAGCGCGGTCGGTCCGCGGGCTGCGGGGGCCGGGGAACCCTTCTGTGCGCGTGCCGCACCATATTCAGCCGTCGGAGGAGGCGGCCCTCGTACCGGCCACGCGCCGCTGCCGCCGCCGTCGGCACGCTGCCAACGCCAACAGACGGACACGCCTCGAACGACCCAATGACGGACCTCGACGACCGGACGACGGCGGGTCACCAGGTCAGCCGCAGGCGGCGCCTCGGACGGAGTCAGAGGTCACCTCCCGGTCACAGGGGCGATCGGTGCAGCACAGCCTGGCGGCGGTTCGGAATCAATGGCGTCGTGACCAGACAGCGAGCCCATCAACTCTGCGGTAGGTGCCGCTGGGTGATCAGAGATGCAGCCAACGTACCGGTGAGAGGCCACGGCGGACGTGCCCACACCCCCCTGTAATCTCCCTCCACCGACCTGCCGGGATTGATAGCGCCATACGCGGCGTCTCCCCGCGCGCCGTGTGCACATACGAGCCCTGTGGCCGGTCGTGGCGCCCGTGCAGACCACACACGGAAGACGGAGGACGGCCGGCGGCGCGTGGCCCTGAGACGGTCCGAGCGGCCGCCCGACCGGAAACCACGCGCCTCCGTAATGGACGCTGATCGGACTGACTCCAGGCTATCGGGAGTCTGTGCCTTCGCCGGCTGCAGAGTTCTTCCAGGAGCCGGCGTCCACGCCGATGACGTTGGAAGGGAATTCGCCAAACCGGCGTGTGCAACATCGTGCCCGGCCACGCTGAGTGGGCGGCGGCTATCTCAGTGCTGACTCAACGCTAAGGCACTTGTCGCGGGCTGGCTGGAGACGTAAACGGGTGCAGACGGCAGAGTTTGGTCAGCGAGATCGCTCGGCCGTCGGAGTCGGTTCGGTCACGCAAGCCCAGTCATCGGGCCTCCCCAATTTGCAGCGGGTCTTCCCCATCGCCGTGATGCCAGTCGACTGCGGCGCGTCGGGAGCCGCACAGAAAAACGACGGTCCGCGATGCATGTTATGCTGCCTATGCATCTGGCACTGCCTATGCAGTGCCAGAGACGGGGTAGGACGGGGTAGGGAAGACGCTATCGCACGGTCGTGCCAAGTGGTAGCGCTCGTTTGCTGTCAGTCAAATGTTTATGTCGATAGGCCAATTGATGTGCAGCTTTTGATGTTCAACCTATTCCAATGAGGGCTGCATCAACCGGCTGTTTAATTAGGAATATGAAATAATTTTTCGTCGCAGATAAATCTGGAAATAACTTTACCGCTCGTAGACATGACAAATCAAAGCCACTTAGTAAAGCCTTAAACTCTCCACACATAATTTCTCCTTGATGATAACTATCTAAACATTCAGCCCATGACATGTCATGCATCAGGAAAAACAATTTCGCAACCATGAAAGTGAAGCATTGACACGTGAGGAGAGAGCACAACGATAACACACAGCTTATTTACGATCCCTAGATGACTCGATGACTCACTATCATGAGCGTCACTCACACACCCACCGGCGTCAGAGAGCGTGCGTGCGCAATACCCGTCCATCAATTAGTACCTGCTTCCTTGTCAGCCACCACCGTATGACGTATCAGTACACTAATGACGTCATCTATGACGCAGGCCGGCCGCCATGGGAGCCGCCGAGCGGCGCGGACGACCTTCATCCAGCGGATCCAGCGTCAGCCCTATCGCCGAGACCGCACCAAATCGGACGGACGGCCGGCGCACCACCGGGGTCAGACGTGGACGCCAAATTTGGCTCTGGCGCGCGGCGCGATGCGATGTGATGTCCTGCGGCGTCCCGCGCCGCGCCGGGTTGGCCGCAGCCGAGTCACGACCGGCACGATACGGCCAGTTTCACCTCAGATCGCCACTATCAGGCCGGTTTCAGTGTCGCGGAGAATCGCCGAATTTGGGCTGTGCAGCGCTGCAGCGTTCCACGGAGATCAGATCAGCCGACCTGCCTTAGACGGTCGCCAATGAATAGGTATGGCCGTGTGAACACACTGACAAGGACCGTCTTGACCTTACAGCGGGCACGCGCTGATAGTATGGGCCGCGCGCGGACCACGCCGTGCTATTGTGACCGAGACCTGCGCCGCGACGACCCTGATAACGAATTCCGAGAACACGGACAAAGCCAAAATACGCGCCAGCGAATCCCCGAGGTCGACCGGCCGGCCGAGAAATTCACTGCGGCAGGCACCTAATTAGAATTCGACACAAGGTCTCTGAGCATACGATAATGTCGGTTACTGGACCTACTACGCTCTCAGATTTCATGACAAAGGAAGTTACTACAAACCTATTAAATGAAGAATATAAAGTGAGAAACCATATCAAGGATCAACCTATGGAAGCCGGGCAATTAATGTGTTCTGAACAGATTATCACATGATTAAAATGGCTTATGATGTCAGCCAGGGAAACACGCCATTGGGACGACGAAAACAGTTCAGGACATATTACCAAGACTTCCAGGACATATTACAGAGACCTCCAAGTAGCCGTCACAATAAACAAATCCAACCACGCTATTCGTCAAGTGTCGCCGATAGTCCAACCACGGCCAATACTTTCACGAATCGATATGCGATACCAACCAATGACAAGATACAGCCACGACGATAATCGGATGACCATACCAACACGAAATAAACAATCAGGGTACGGCGGAGAGTCAATACACACCCGCGGCACCCTTAGCCGTTGCCGCCTGGCTCTGCGTACTATCGTCACCGCAGCTGCCTCCCAGTGCGGGCTGCGGCAGCTGCTCTGACGGGCTCGGCTGCCAGCGGCGCCGCCCGTCAGTCGGCATATGCCGTCCGTCAGCCATCGGCCTACGGGCTGCCGTCATATGCGGTTCGGGCTACCGTCATATGCGGTCCGGTCTGGTCGTTCACACGGCAGTGGTGGCTGACGGCGCGGCGGATCAGTCACCGCACGGCACCGTTATCGGCGCTACAACAGCCGACGGAGCGATGGACGGACGGAGGGGTAGACAGAGACAGAGGGGTAGACGGACAGAGGAAAAGACGGGACAGAGAGACGCGGAAGAAAACACGGAAAGACATATAGGAAAGCATAGAAGGATGGACGGAGACAGACGGACAGCAGAGAGATGGACGGATAGATGCATGACTGGACGTGCCAACTGACCCTCCCCTGTCAACTAATGAAGACCCATACGATGCAAGAGCCGTGCCCACTGCCCACTGCTCGCCAGCGATCCCATATCACGTTTGGGTCAGGCAAACTGCCGTGAGGATCAATCATTATCCAACCCCACCCTCCTGCATTCCTACCTCGTTCAGCTGTAGCCTATCTGCCAGCCGCATGGATCGAACGCCGCCCCACGCCAGCTTCTTTCGCTGCCGCACTTCGCTCGTGGCCTCTAATGGGTAGGGTTAGTGCATTGATATGCAGATGATTGCAGTGCACACTCGATTGCGATTATGTGAGTTATCGTGGGGTTAGCGGAAGTGCCAAGCCTCATCGCTCGTAGCTCCAACAGTGTGCAGTTTTTACCTATGTTGAACCTTCCGTGCGCATATGTGACTCATCCATCAATGCATGCATGCAATCGCTCCACATAGCCGTACTACATATACGGTGCACTATACAGCGCAGCTACTGTCTCATTAAATCCGACCGGCAATCATTCACGCGTTACGCTCAGCATATCACCGACAGCAGGCAGGGTTCGCATCCACTGCTGCCTAGCATCAAAGCATAGCCCACGTCAGCGCCAGCGCAAGGGACCGAATACGGAGCCCGTCAGGGATGCGTGGTCCCGTCCCGTATAAGGCGACCCGTGCCGTACACGGGCCGACTCGGCATACTCACGGGGTGGCGGGCTGAGCGACGTCATCAGGTCCGTCTTCAGACTCACTGACGGTGGCATCCTGTAAAACAGCAGGGAGCGTCAAGTCAGCGCGGGGTGAGAAGGAAACGGGGTTAGGGTGCAAAGATGCTCGATGGACGGGGTGCCACGGCGGCGCCATGGGAAGTGTAGGGGAGGGAATGCGGTACCAAGTAATAGAGCGACAGATGGCGCCGCGCGGGCTGCAGGGGAAGAGGGCCAGGTTGCAATGCATAAGATACACGAGGGACGGAGCGGTGCCGTAGGGGCAGGAGGGCAGGACAGGCGGTACCGAGTATTGGCGGGACGAGTAGGCGCCAGGCGGGCTGCAGAGAGCTCTCGGAAAGCGGTCACCAGACTAGCCGGCACTGAGCGCAGCAGAGTTGCACGCCCGAGAAACGGAACGTACCCTTACTGCCAGACAGATTGTTTGAAATATTTATAAACCAAGGAATTGGAGCGAAACATAGCAGACAGTCTTCTGCGTTAGTATGTCAGTCAGTAGATAAGCATTTGGGTCAGAGATTAATAAACAATGCCAACAATATCAAAGCACTCTTAAAAATGACAAGTGTGAGGGATCCCCAATTGCTACTGCATGATAGTATCAGCTCTGTTGGTCCCATGAGCGATAATCCTACATAGTGGACGCTCGATATCATCGGAATGCATTGCATGATGGCGGGCTCTCCGTCCTGAATAGTGCACATCCTGCCAGTGGCGAATTATTTCGAGTGTTTGTTGAGAGGCTTAAGGGCGAAATATCAGCCAATATGAGTCTGTTTCCGGCGGTGCAGGGTCATGCAGGACGGCCATTTATATGCGGAACCGTTGCACCGTCACAAACCATGGCCCGCATCGCCAGCCAGCACAGTTGTCCCTTCACGGCGGCTGCCGCAACAACAGTGGATGCGCGACAAAAGAAGGGTCACTCAGGATTTGAATACCATTCAGATTCAGTTCAGGTGGCCGGTGAAGAGAGGGCACTGGTGAAAGGATGCAGGACATCAAGCTTCCTAGCTGGGTTTATGAAAGCAAAAACTCCGTCACAAAGAACACAGCCACAGCGAACCTTTTATGGTCTTGACAAACAAAATCAGTTGAGATGGTTCTCTTATAAAACTTGAATTACTTCCGCTAGCAGTCCGAACTAGGAAGCCAGAATGTCACTGCTGGACATCCTGTCCTGCAGTTGGCCGAGTTGGCAGTGGCGGCGACATTCCGTCGGGAAAGTTTCCAAGTGGGCACCCCACCCACCCCCAGCGCCCACCGCGCCGGTCCGGCACCGCTAGCCTCAAAAGGCACTGAGAGTCCGCCGTCCGGTCAGATGGCGAGCCTACTTATCCGGCTACGGCCAAACTGAGCTGGAGCACTGCCGTACCAGTCACCGTGTGTATATGTGGTGAGAGAGTGTATGGACTGGTAGACAGCCACCCACGCGGTAGCGCTAGAACCACCCCGCCGTTCCTGGGACAGTGACTCCGGTCCGGCTGCAGTGCAGGATAACTGACCAAGACTCCCCGCCACACCCAGTTTCATAGAACGGCGGAAAAGCCCGCCGGCCGTGCTAATCTGTCAGCCTGCAGCAGCCGTGGTCAGGAAAGGTCACGTGTTGACACGGCACCCCGCGACTGGCCGACTGAAGGGGGCGTGCGCTTTTCCTCAGGAGTGGCCGAACCCCACCCCACTGCCAGCACCAGCCAGCACGGGGTCGGGCACCGGAGACCTACCGGACCAGGAACTAGGCTGAACGAAACGGGTTGACCACAGTTCATGGAAAACGATGACCTAAAGCCGGGCGCGGAGGTAAAAATGGGTTCATTCGTTCATATCAGAGCGCAAATAAAGGACAAGTTCTGCAGGGTCTGAGAGGATTAGAACTAAAGTTAGTCGTGGAGCCGGGACAGCTCGACAAGATGGAGCTGCGAGCACAAAAAAAAACGATCATCTTAAAAGCGATCCAATTCGTAAAACACCGATTGAGCCGATTCTCGTCATCACGGCACTAACTTCATCTTTAAAAGTGCCGGTCAGCATTCGTAAAACTCATTTGCTATGAGCTATGACCAAAACGGCTGGGTGGGATCCTTATACCGAGGCTGGTTTCAGCAGCCTTTTGCAGCGCTAACTCGAGGAACCTGCGTCACCAGAAGTCCCGGACATATGTGTTTACATTTTTACCTTCCGCGCCAATCCGGAGAAAACAAACCAGAGTTGGAGGCTCAACAGGGCCATGTTTGGTTACCTTATCCACAGCTTATCTGGTAAGTCGCCGGGGCGTAGCTGTGTGGGCAGAACGTCTGGGTTCACCTCACCGAACCTTCTCAAAGGACCCGTTAGCCCGTTACCTTCTCGCCAGCCTTTTAGAATGAATCGGCCTCGGCAATAGAAATCTTCCTGGCCATAGCTCCCCGAAATCCACAATGTTTGACTGCACAGCGTAGGATGCCGGACTTCTGTCCCATTCTGATGTACCGTAAGGCCAGCCTTCAACTCAGCTTAGCCTTCAACGACGCGCACCTCAGATCCCCTATTAAGCGCTACCATAACACAGCTGACCTCATGTACAAATGTTAATTCCGTCGTAAGCCCGGTCTTTGCATGGTTCTAATCAGGAAGTGGGACCCCAGTGTCCAAAGATGACAGCAACCGCAGCTCAGCGGCCCGACTCCGGAGTAGCTCATCACATGTAAATAACCGCTACGCAGCGGTGAAGGAGTCTTTACTTACAACTAAGCGATCACGATTTACGAGTTGTATGACGTCACGAATAGTGAGACGTCACCTGTTTGCCATGTAATGACGTCAATCACCGCAGGAGCAAACCGATTGATGAGCAATGATCATGTTCCTCTAATCAGAAACTTCGAATTTCCCGTTGGCGTCGTCGGTTGATGCAATGCTTGCCGAGGTTCACGCAGGGATAGTACCTCAGCGATGGCCGCATTACATGTCTTTCGAACGAGATATGCGGATTAACTCACGCATTATACCTATGTAGTTGATAAAGGCGATCCTGGCTACACTTGAGCCCACAAGTATGCGCTCTTTGCATCATTGCCTCAATGCAGCAAAGGCCAAGTTAAGCGTCAGAACGCCTAAATAAAAATGAGCAATGCCGCTATTGCAAGAGGCGAATTAAATGGGCATTTCAAGACGTTACCGCTAAAATGAAAATTACAACTAAAAAGGTTATCTAAATGATCAGCTCAGTTGAATGAGAAAATAAATAGCCATCAAGTACTAGGCATAATACCTACCGTATTTAACAGCGTTAGGTACATCTGAGTGCTACTGTATCTTCACATATAAAGCCAATATTTCAGTTCGGTCGCTCTTGACGACAGACCAGCTACAAGCATCAACTGACCAACTTCAATCGGACTGAAACCTAGCCGTTCCACTAGCGAACCGGAAAAACAAGCCAGCTCAGTGGGCCCAGATGGAAGCTGCTGTTCCGCAGATAACAAGAGAGCTGATCCGATTCGAGCACACCCTTCAAGTCCCACGACGAGCTTTGTCCCTACCAGTCACTGCAGCGTACATTCATTGAAAAATCGACAGCCACCCCAGCCGTGTAGAACAAAGGCGCCGTAGATGACAGTAACCAGCCCACGAGAATCGATAATTCCCCGGCCGGTTTTCGGCGGCACGAGGCGGCGGCCGTCTGCGCTCCGCCCGTTCGTCATACTCTGGTGGGCGAGACACGTGTTTTCGGCTCACCGCTCGGCTGAGGAAATCGCACACGCGCGACGCTACGCCGAGTCGAGGCCTCGTCGGTGAGCCGTGCTGCAACGATGACAGCACCTGAGTTTGACAGGCTGTCAGGCAGCGCTGGCGTCAGCGATGACGACCGTGGCGATGACGGCCGTGTTGATGACGGCTGCGAATATTAAAGGCAGCAGAAATGACGAAATCAACAACACTGGCGACGTTCAGAAAAGCGCTCTACGCACGACTGAGCGGAGACGGGGACACAGGGGAAAGGGCACATCGTCTCTGAGCCGGGTCAGCTAGGCCACAGCGTCACACTCACACGGAGCGCCCCACACCGTACCGACAGCAGCGGTGGCGCGTGTCGCGCTGTCCACCGACCCATGGAGAGGGCAGGCCGACCGCGCAGCGACCAATTTGGACAGGCTGAATTAGTTGCCACTTCGGAAACAATGGCACCAAAGTGCCACAATGTTCTGATCAGATTCAGATAAGGGTATTCGAGGCACACAAAGGGTGCCGTGTGAGACTCCATGGGTGTAGCAAATGTTTTGCTGGGCGATGATTATTGATCATAGGTATTGCACCACATCACGAAGCCCGATGATCCTGGAGCGCTGCAGCCTGCAGCGACCATTTTCCCGTCGTTTCTGACCAGTTGAACTCGTGCCAACTGGGCCAAGAGCAGCCAGCTCAGTCAGCTGTCTGTGTGCGACCATAGCGCCGCATCGACGGCATTTCTTGGCGCGCGGCGGGCCGCTGACGCCGAACGGGGCAGTGTTAGGTAAACTGGCGCAGCGCGGCACAAACGCCTCAGAAGCGGCGCAGTGAGCCGAGCACCACGGGCCGGCAGCTCCGACCCAAGGTTATCTCCGTCAGCGCCGTCAGGGACAGCAGCCTTCTGTCGTTCCCGGGCCATTTGGCGGTAAAATTGCGCGACTGAGGAGGTGGTCGGAGCTCCTGCTGGGGTATTACGTCCACGGGCGCGGTGTTGTTCCGCCAAGCGGAATTAAGTGCTGTTCACATCCGCGTTCACATACCGTTCACGTATGATCAGCAGTTCTGTGGGATCAGTTGCGCGCTTGACCATGGCCGGCGGTCTCCCAGGGAGCGGCGGAATCTGAGATTATGTAAAACGCAAATAAAAGTACTCGGTGGCTGACGGTAGCATTGAAAAACAGCTCTCCAATATTGCGTAACAACCGCGAAGATTCGTCAGTGCAATCCGTCAGCAGAATGCCAAGTCCTCAAAGCATGACGTGACACATTCTGGGAGTCCTGACATTTCTTGGAATGTTTATGTGCGACGGGATTACAATGATCCGCCGG